CTAGTGTTTATTTAACGACGCTCACAGTAACTCAGGCTCAGCAGCGTCTGCCAAATAATACAGCATCGAATGAGTGGACGATAGTGACAATGAATCGGAAGGGATATGAAAGGAAGAGGTCGTAGTCTTGTTATTTGTCTGGGCCCATACATGTACGAGTCTGGCTCGCGAGTCCGGCTCGGCGAGCTTGACTCGGGAGCCGGGCTCGGATTAATTTCACCACAAACACATGAGCTGACTCCCAACTTTGCGACACACACACGGACGAGTTTGGCTCATTGGAACCCGAGCCGAGTCGGATCGCGAGCCAGACTCGTACGTGTATGGGTCACTTTAGAGTGAGTATTCTTCGGTTTCATGAGGACGTGTACAGGAACCGTATGGTAGTACTTATATTCCTGTGAGGATAACCCGTGAGATAAATATCCTTTGAATATCCGTAGAGACTCGAAAGGCATCACATTCCTCCTTGGTTTATAAATTCATACTAAGAAACTTATTTTCTCTCTCTGAACGGGAAAGTCGAGCACAGAAAAGTCATCACTCAAAAAACAATGGCAACTTTGACAAGCACTGAGTCTGCAGTTAACCTTAGATTAGTAAAGGAAAGTTGTTTTGTTGCCACTACATATTAAAATTGCTTTAATGAAAAATGCTCTTAAGGCTATAAATCAAAATGACAGTTGGGTTTTCTGTTTGAAACACAAGAGTTCCGAGAATTGGTGAGACCAGAATAAAAGAGAGCGGATATTTCTAGATCCGCAAATTTGAGAAAACACTGAACTTTAAGTGAGGATGAAGGTGCAGCTTGAACGGCTTGAAAGGCTTTGAGCACAAATTTCCTAAGAAAACTGAAGGCATAAAATTACGAATCACTCGTTGAGGAACTTTTCAATGCCTACAAAGTTACTGGATGCAAAATGTCATCAGAAATGTATTTTCTGGGTTCACATCTCTGTTATCCCGAGCCCACAGAAAGCCTTTGTCACTGTTAATAATGAGAACCCATTCTATCAAGCTACACCACTACTGGAGAAGATGAAGCCAAGTATTTTTTTAATTCGCTTAGTGGGGGGTGGAGTCCAACTGGGTCCACTCGGCACGGCGGCCACTGATTGGCCTATTGTAGCCTGCCCCGGGTGATTATGATGATGGAGAATTAGGTGGAATGAAGATTGGCAGGGGAAACCGAAGTACTCGGAGAAAACCCGTCCCACTGCCACTTTGATCACCATAAATCCCACTTTACCAGACCCGGGATCAAACTCAGGCCGCCGAGGTGGGAAGCCAGCGACTAACCGCTTGAGCTCTGGCGCGGCCTATGGAGCCAAGTTTGTTGATTGTCCGACTGTTGGAGGATACTGGAAAGCACTGCCTCTCATTCGAAATGCAATCTCCAGCTATCGGCAGGTGCACTCCATATACATGTAGTGTGAAATTTAGAATTTGGTTTTATTAATACTGTCACGTGTATTAGTGACTACAGCACAAGCAGAGTTTTCAGATCTCCTGCCCCAGTCTAATTCCTTTCTTGCTGTCGACTTCCTGAATCCCAATCTACGACTTTCTCAGTTCTGACTCAAGTCTTCACAAATCACTACTCGACACATCTTCTGACTGGTCACTCCACTGGAAGTATTCTGACTTCCGGTTGAAGTCAAAGTCAAGTCACACTGCGACTGACGGTTAGTCAGTCAGTAAGTCTTGATGTTGAGCCCCATCTGGGTCTCACGACCAGATATTTATTACTGTTTGACAGTTGCGATCTTGTTTTTGTGGGGCGCCCTCTCTGACGAGAGGACGGGTCTGTCTTTTGTGTATGCTGCTGGCGCTTGCCAGCGCAGTCTTTCTCGGGTCCGAGTCCCTTGGGAGTTGCGACCATATTTTACTGTCTCAGATTTGAGACTTCCCTTTTCGTCGCCTCCTACGACTCGCAGGGTCACGGTGGAGGTATTCGACCCCACCTCCACACGGCTATGTGACTTCCAGTCAAGTCAAGTCAAAATCAAAGTCACATTGCGACTGACGGTCAGTCACTCAGTAAGTCTTGGCATCGAGCCCCATAACCCTTCCAGCCGCACTGTGGTCCTGGGGTCGATTAGGACTCTAACAGAAATGAGCACAAGGAAATCTTTCCTCGGGTAAAGGGCGGCCGGTGCGTAAGGCTCACAACCTCACCGCCATGCGTGAACCGATTGTACAGAAAATGTGAGAGCCTCGACGTCTCACAATCCTACGGGCCTCCATGGCCTGTTGCAGGGATAGCTTTACTATTATTTTTTTATATTTTTTACTATAACTGATTTAATTTTATGAAAATATGAAAAATAAAAAGTCTTCTTACGTATTAGTAATTACTACATACGTGTGTGCTTTATTACGAAGTCTTATTTATAACTATTCCAGTGCGATGTATGGTTTAGCGTTCAGAGTATCAAGACCACGACGGACGCGTCCAGTTGAGCTTACATCATTTGTATGCATGTAACGGAGGTAACGGGGCAAGACATGTGTATGCTGCGTGCAGGTATTCGCTGTTCTGTTATAACTAATATGGCTAGAATCTAACGTGCAAATAATTCTTGAACTCAACGCTACAAACATGCAATTTATGGTTAGATTATACAGCATACAAACCAAAATACGGTTTCTGGTGTTTATTGTGTCTCTCTGTGAGATATATTCCGAGATAGCAACAGTTGGAACTCTGCAAAACCGAAACTTTCCATGATACAAACGAAATACCTCGTTCAGAAACTCCTGTTCTCTGCTTGTTTGTTGGGAGAATTTCAAATAAACTTATCTGCTAACAGTTCCGTCAGTCTGTAGCTCATCAACCACAGATATTACAGCCTTGCATCAAAGCATACAAACATACGAAGCAAAGAACAAAGAAATATAGGAATAGAAATGACAATTGTTTCATAAGTATAATTCAGCACAGAACGAGTTAACAAATGTGAGATACCGTTTACAAAAGCACAGGGGGGAGGGGCACGCGGTAGCGTAGTTGATCGAGGCACTATTCCTCAAGCCGGTCGTTCTTAAATACTACTATTTAATTTTGTTTAGGTTACATTTCAAGTGCCGTTCTCTACAGTACTTTGTAACTTGGTCTAGTTCTTTCTGTAAACCATTAATTGTAAGAGAAGGCAATACTACATCATCTGCAAACAGCAATCCTGGAACTGGTGACGTTAGAGTTACTAGTGCGTGTGGGTTATTCTTACTAATAAACACGATAATATCATATTTGAAATTTTCAATTTACCTAATCCTGTTATATTTTACCGTCCTGTTGCACTGATTTATGTCCATGATTTATTCTGACCGTCTTACAGTGCATACATTTTTTCACCTTACTCTTCTCTCTTGCACTACATGTTTCAGCACTAAAGTGCCATCTTCAGGTGCTTTTCTATGTACGTCGAACTACTCCATTGCATGCCCTGTTGTCTTTATACTAAAATATATATTCATCATATATATTGATAAATTTTAAATATTAAAAATATTAAAACTGTTCAGGATTTCTTCATCCTTATGTCGTATCTCATTACGCGAGTCACACCTATCCTCCTCTATCGGAGCATTCTTCCTACTTTCGTGTGTGTATTGTGCTTTGTGTTGTGTCTTGCTCCTGTGACTGCGTGTGTTATAGTACTGCAGTTATAGTGCAGTAGGAAGAATGCTCCGATAGAGGAGGATAGGTGTGACTCGCGTATTGAGATACGACATAAGGATGAAGAAATCCTGAACAGTTTTAATATTTTTAATATTTAAAATTTATCAATATATATGATGAATATATATTTTAGTATAAAGACAACAGGGCATGCAATGAAGTAGTTTGACGTACACCGAAAAGCACCTGAAGATGGCACTTTTGTGCTGAAACATGTAGTGCAAGAGAGAAGAGTAAGGTGAATAAATGTATGCACTGTAAGACGGATAGAATAAATCATTACCTAATCCTTCCAGCCGCAATATGATCCTGTGATCGACTCAGCCTCTAACAGAAATGAGTACCAGGAATCTTCCTGGGGTGTAAAGGGCTGTCGGTGGGTAAGGCTGACAGCCTCACTGCCATCTGTGAGCCGATTGTCTAGAAAATGTGGGAGCCTCGACGTCTCACAACCCTATGGGCTTCTACAGCCCGTTAGAGGTATAGTTTTTTACGTAAGTTGTCAGTTACAAAGTCAGTTACCGAGCACTCAGTCAGAGTTGGCATCAGTGAGCTCGGTGCAAAGCTTGCGAAATTCTCTTTCAAACTCTTCATCAATTTCTTCCTTAGATTCTCCTTTAGATAGTTGAGGCTGTTATACGTTTTTGTACATTTACTACCAACTTTGTCCAGCAAATATACAAAATTTGAGATTTAAAATTAGTTGAATAAAATCCACAGTGATGCTGAGGAAAATATTTGTACTGAAGGTTGGAGAACACTGCATAATGAGGAGTGTCTTAACTTGTACTCTTCACCAAGTATAATTAGAATGATCAAGTCAAGGAGGATGAGATAGGTAGGGCATGTAGCACGAATATTTGTGGGAAAGCCAGAAGAAAATAATCACTAGGAAGACCAAGACGTAGGTGGCTGGGCAATATTAAAATGGATCTTAGGGAGATAGGATGAGGTGTTATGGAGTAGATCGATCTGGCTCAGGATAGGGACCAGTGGAGGGTTCTAGTGAACACAATAATGAATCTTCGGGTTCCATGAAATATTGACAAGTTCCTGGGTAGCTGCACAGTTGGCGGCTTCTCAAGAAGGACTCAGTCCAATACAGCCAGTTTTAGTTATTAACTTTAGGGACACCCAGTATATCGTGTAGAAGATTAAGATGGGATTGAGAGCCACGCAGATGTCACTACAGAGTAAGGGGCCCAAGAGGCACAGATAGATACAGCCAGCGCCTGGCTTCTTACTCGTATGTCGCAAAATCGCTCTTACGTACATGGCAAAGCTACAGTAAAAGGAGGAATAGAATGAACTTTACCCTTTGTGCTTTCCTCTTGTCTGCCCTCTGGTTTTGATGATAAATTCGACTGAAGTTGGACACGATGACAGGTACCGGCAAGGCGATGACCAGCACCCCGCTCAGCGAGCAGACACCTCCCACGATCTTGCCGGCTATCGTGCCCGGCACCATGTCGCCATACCTGGACAGCATGACAGGAGCTGTACTCACAAGCTGTCCGTCAGGACGCAGGTCACATGGGCTTCTGGGCTATGGCACTGTGTAGTTCTGTAGTTCTGTAGTTCATGTCAACATTTCGGAGCAACATCGGTGCCGACAGGGTTACAAGCAGTTTTCTCCGAAAGAATGGAAACTAGTTATGAAACTACACAGCGCCGTAACCCAGCGCACCACAATCTTATTTCTCATCGCACTGAAAACTCTCAAATCTCAACAAGTCACATTTTATTTAGTTATTTCCAGAACACTGATTGCCTGTTGTCCAATTTTCGAATAAATGTCACAGATACAGAGATTTTTGAATTATTACTCGCAATTATGAACTCGCAGAATCCATAAGCATTGTAATCCGAGGTGCTGTTAGTTAGTGACGATGTTCTGGAGAAAATAATTCTGAAACTTCGTTTTCCTTGAAATCAAAATATTTCATATTCAGTGAATTTATTTATTTACGATTTATTTAACTTTGTTGTCAGTGTCTCAAACTGGATTGCATCGAATGTTATGGTGATTAATGAATAATTAACAAGAACAGATGTGGAAGAAAACGGCAGCGATTTATTTCGTGGTATTATCCTGGCAACGACAATGAGGAACTTAGAAAATTTACGAACAAATTCAGTCAAGATATTTGATACCCCGGCCAAGATTCAAAACCGCCCCCTCCAGAATATGAGTCACAAGTGCTGTCAGATGTGTCAGCTTGCTAGCTGCTGTCAAGATTGTCAATTGTGAAATAACCAAGAGTTCGTTCGATTAAGTTAAAATCTAACTAAAAAAATATTTCTTGAGGAGCTAACCGTCAAATTAGAATCAGAATTTCATAACTAGTTCTCTTCCCTACTTTAAAATACATGGCCAGTTGATTTTGAGGCGAGAAAGGTAAAAGGGGGAGTCGGGTTGGAGACTGCGTCTGCGCGATAAGTCAACTGCTGGAGACGATGTAATTTATTATCACAGTCTGCCACTCCATACCGCTTCATCATCTCGCAGTAATATTGTCGGGTCCTCATCATCTCTATTCCCCGCGCGAGATGAACATTATAGCCCTCCACCCCCACTAAACAGTCACAAATTAAAAAATGCCCAAAACAATTTCCATTCAAAATAATTGTCGCGTATTTAGTTGGCTAGAAGCAGTCGTCCGGCTTCCTACCGGAATAACACAGCCCTACAAAATTAAGGGAGCCTGTTTTACGTCTGTCTCGATCAAAGCGAGATTATGCGAGATTATGGCCGTCTGTGACTCATCTGTTTAATGTGACATGTTGGAGAGAGGAGAACTGGATACAGTACGTATTATTCGTACTTCTGTCACTCATTCTCCAAATTCGTCGACCTTTATCCATTACAACCAGCATAAATAATTTATATTATATTTGCGACAAATAACATTAACTTCTTTTCTGTCCCTGTAAAGGGGAAAACCTTAAAACGACCACTGAGATACTAAAAGTAAAACATAGAATATGTGTGTTCATACAGAATATATTTGTTCCCTTCCATATGTTCAGCGTTTAAATCGAATAGACTTCAAGGTTGACAGATTGTGATCTTCTGGGTTGTGACATCGTGGTACCATGCAATGATCGCAATATATTTTGTTATTCAGGCTTTAGCATTATCTAATGACTAACATTAAAATACTGTCGCATGTAGACCCGTTGCTAGGCAACGACCGCGAAATAAGCAACTATATTCTGAAATATTAGGGTTTTCTGACTTTTTCCATCGTTCGGTACTCTAGAAAGTAGAAAACATAACGTTTCGGAATCATGATCTGCTTCCATCGTCAGGTGAGGGCGTGAGATACCTACTCTGATGGGTCCTTTAGAAAGAGCTAACCTCAGTCACTGAATACTGGATTATAGCGATTTGCAAATTGTAGTCACGAGTTGTGTGTTAAAGAGTTCAACAAATTCGATTACCAAACCAAACTCCTTACATCGTCACTCTATCACGTGACAATAGGAATGTTAATGTAATATTCCATCGTGACAGGCTACAACTTAATTAAATGTTAGGACCAATCAGTAGCAATTACAATATAAACATCCAATCTAGAACGACATAAATAATAAACGCAGCTCAAACAGAGCAAGAATATCTAAAAAAAAGTAACTATTAATTACACCAACAGAGACTGGAATAATCCCCCCAAATGGACATAAATATAAGTCATCGAAGGGGAATACGGGAGATATGCACATACCGTCAAAACAATATATATTTACAGATCAAAATTAATTCACATTTCGTATCAAATACAGCATTCACATCATTTAGGTAGTATCGAAGTTAAGGTGCAACCTCCTGCCTCCATCTTTGTAGTAGGTTACAATTTGTATCACACATACACGCGCGCGCATATACGCCTCATGTCCGTCAGTCGAGTTGGCGGCTTGCAAGTTTGCGGAGAATACGCAGCCTGAGGGCAAGGCGTTCTCTTCAGATGTTGAGCTGAAGGATGCGAAAAGAGTACGGCAGGTGCCACAATATTTCCACGAACAGAACTTCAGCAGAACAGAGTTTACGGCGTAGGAAACAATCACTCTCTCAAAGATCTCTTCTTCCATTACGGCTCGTTTGAAGGAGTTAGGATTGTATAAATAAGATGCAGAACTAGCCCCTTCCTTGCACAGATGTTCTGCTGAAAGTTTTAGCTTTTTTATATTTTCATGGCGTGTGTTCAGCATTCATGACGTTTCACGTTGGTTTGTATGTTTCAAACATCTAACAGGGCAGGTTCCTCTTTACTTACGCGTATTTTCGCATGCCTAAGACACAGAAGGAACATGTATCAGTTTCGAAGCTACCTACATCGCCCATATCATAGCATATGGTAGTATGTATACCCGTTGCCAAGAAATGATTCTATAAACGTCCGCTGCTAGGCAACGACCGCAGAATAAGCAAATGTATAATAGCCGTCGCTGAGTCGCAGATTTGCAAACAATCATTTCCCACTGCAACGACTGAACTACAAAAATGAGGAGCGGTCTTTTCTACGCGGTTCGCGCCAAGATGTTATAACCAGGACAGTTAGTGTAAGTTACTGCAATCCTGTATGGAGGCAGGGTCGAATACCTCCACCGTAGCTCTGCGAAAGGTGACGAAAGGGGAACCCATTGCCTGGGGGTATAACTGGACCACCCCGTTATTGGGGGATATAGATACAGGGACCTAGTCCTCCAGTTTGAGGGAGTTTCGAACCTGAGATACTATAATATGGTCATCAGTTCTGCGAGGCTCGGACCCGAGAATGACTGCGCTGGCGAAGGCATGTAACAACTGTAAACGATAGATCATCCTCTCATAGGAAAGGGTATTACATAAGGGTTATAACCGCAAGTGTTCAGTTGAAAAAATTCTGGTCGTGATCTCAAAGGGTGTGGCACCAAGACGAACTGATTGGCGGTACACCGGCAGTCATAAAGTAAATCTGACTCCCGACTCTCGTGCTCAATTGGCAGTCGGGCTGTGAAGAGAAGACTTTCTTGTGTGCTGCTGTTGCAATGAGACTGGTATAACTACGGTGTTGAAATCCGTTGCCATGATAGGACTAGTGAAGGCTGAGAACTTTAGTGTACTTGTAACTTGAGCGAGAGCGTTGTATTACTTGTAGTTACGAGTTGAGTGTAAGAGTGAAATAAATCCAATCATTCAATGTAAGTCCTGTCAACAGTCACTAATAACACGTGACAATAATTTTCCTCGGTCTTTAGGGGCGAATGCCGATGTAATAATATGAACTCAGCTGAGGACGTTTCTGTCGGTCCTGTTCATAATTATTCGACGCTACACAGTTTGAAATAACAAGATTTCAAAAGCAGTGCAATCTCCTTGCCACTGGTTAGAAATTCCATAACATTCTGGAAACATCTTGGAGTTCCTGAGCAAGGCCACTTACTGCTTCATAAGGCCGCGCCATAGTTAGTCGCTGGCTTTCCACCGCGGCGGCCCGGGTTCGATCCCGGGTCTGGTCAAGTGGGATTTATGGTGGACAAAGTAGCTCTGGGGCAGGTATTCTCCGAGTACTTCGGTTTCCCCTGCCAATCTTCATTCCACCAATTGCACCACAATCACCCTCACCTATCATCTGGGGCTGGTACAATAGGCCAGAAGTGGCCACAGTAAAAGGGACTTAGTTCCATCCCACTAGCAATAAAAAAAAGCAAATTCTTTGAATGAATTTGGGTACATGCATGGCCTAACTGGCCGATCAGAGTGTCCGCACAGTCTGAGGCATGAACTGTCTTCGCCCGCTCGAACACTTGGATCGTGAGTTCGTATCCCACTCGAGGTATGGATGTCTCCGCGTTTCTGTGTTTGTGTTGTTCTGTGTGTAGGTAACGGCCTTGTTACCGGCTGATCTTCAATCCAAGGAGTCCTACCGACTGTGTATAGGATCAAGAAACAGAAAAAGCGACATGGTCGCAAAAAAAAAGGCAATTTCTTTTTGTTACGAAGCTCTTAACAAAACAACGGAAGCCTGCCGGATGCTTTCAAAACATCACTTCCGCTGTTCTTTTACAAAACGAAATAGCAGTAGCAGCCAAGTCTCTTATAGCTTCTTGCAGGGAAGAACTGTTTAATCACATCCACGTACAAGGGCGAAGTCTCGATAAGTCACGCGAAACACAGAACTCAGTCCCGTGGAATAAGCGCATGCAATAGACACACAGCCATAGGAGCACAGAGAAAGTTGCGTGCCAGATGCGATCATGCGATCATAATTTTATTAGTAGAAACATCGTAATTTGAGGTAAATGTATCGCCTCTCGTATCAAAATGTGTTTTCTATGCGATCCGTGCCGAAATGTTACGTGTATAAGCAGGACAAGTTAGGAGTTGCAGTTAGTGCAGTTAGTGAAGAGTTGGTTGGTAACTTAGTTAGAGGGCTACTGGGGTTCTGTTATGAGCCGTTACGCTTAGAAGTTGGGTGGTGAGGCACGGGATAGT